CGCTATTTTTAGAACAAAAAGGAGGACATGTCCGGGTAAATCCGGACGAATGGTAACCCTAGGAGAGTCTCAGTTTTGATTGTGCCAAGATCTGCAATCTGAGTGAATTCCTATAGTTGTTTTCCTAACAAGTACTAAAGCCCCATTCACTGTATTTAAATACACATTTTGTAGCAGAGTTTTGGCTGGTTTTCTCTGATCAGCATGGACCAGGACTCCAGAGGCAGGGCTGGTCTGCAAACCTTGGACTTGTTTTCGCAGGCACAAATTTGCATTCACCATTATCGGGCACTTAGATGTCTGGCCTTGACTTATGGGCCCAGTCAGAGACTGGGCACTGTGTGATCATAGCCAGAAAATAACTTCATTTTTCCCAATGCAAATCAATGTTAAGGCCAGGCTGAGTATTTGGCCTGATCTGCCAGGCATTCCTTCCTGACAGCATTTGCCTGTTTTGCTATGTCTGTAAATTGATGTGCTGAAGACTTCCTTTGGTTGGCAGACATCAAGTATTTCTGGGTCTCAGCCAAGCAGACACAAATGTTTGTTTGTCTTTTTTTCCACAAAGTAAAGGCTTGGGAAGAAGGAAGTGATTGCAGCAGATTCTAGAAAATGGTTATACAGCTATTTCTAATTATATCAGTTCTGTATAAGTGTCTCAGCACATCACATGGAACAATTAAACACAAAACTAAAGTACTGCCGTTAGCATGTCCAACAGTGGAATCACCAAGTGCACACGTTGTCAGAGTCCCTTTCAAATAAACAAAGGAAGTTAGGCTTTGTCTCCAGTGGCAAGTGACGACGGTGTGAACAGCGCGTTGGCGTCAGGAGCGCTCTCCTGCCCACAACACTAACATAGGCTTAGAAACAAGAATGTGGGCTAAAATTATTGGGCCAGATCCTCAGCTACATTGACTTACACTAACTGAGGCTGTGGCCGGCTGTGTTCACAAAAGGTGCAAAATGGAATTTTTATCATTTGTGAATAGCCCAGATGCTGTTCCCCCTGAAGGGCAGCCTCAGACAGGAAAGACCTAGCACAGAAGGGCTGTTATCAAGGTCTTAAATTACTGCAAACAAGCTGAGCTTGTGCAATTGACTATAGTGGGACTAGTAATACATTGGCAAAAATAGTAAAGGGCAAGTGCACTAAGAACCACAGCACAACTGTTTCCCTAGGTTCCCCTCCCCCCCAAGATTTGGACATTTGCGATAACTGATTGAACTTAGTCCCTGACACTTTTTTTATTTTGGCGTGTCATGGAAGGACTTTGCAGGGAGGTGGGTTTGAACAGGTAGTAATAGCAACGAGAGGAGGTGCAAGTAGGGCAGAAGCAGGCAACACTACCAGAGCATGAGGGGAGTGGGGAGTCTGAGTAGCAAGCAGGCAGGTGCACAGAGCCAGAGCAATGGGAAGAGCCAAACAAGTGAGGATGGGCAGTTGGGTGGTTCTTTTCTCTCTCTTTGATTCTAGTGGAAGAGCAGAACCATAGCAACTCTGAGGCTGGATATTGCCCGTCACATCCACGAAGACACACTGCCGTCTCTCTGTCCACTTAGGCCTTGGCCTTAAGGGGTCGGTAGTTGGTTGAGAAAAGCTTTTATTAGTTGACTGTGTGTCTGGTTAGTTTTAATTTATGGTTCTCTCGTGTGTAGAAGTGGGCTGATTTTCAGAAGTGCTGAGTACACATGATCAGCCCGCTTCTATCCAGGAGCCTTATTTAAACATCCAGCACTGAAAACTTTGCAAGTGTATAGCTAAGAGAGGCAAAGGGGTGTTCTGGAAACCCGGATGATGTTGGTCTGTTTCATGCCCCCAGTTTTCTCTTTATGTCTCTACAGGAGGTTGTTGCCCATTGGATTGCTGAAAGCCGCATTGCTATTGAGCAGGCCCGATTGCTTACACTGAAAGCAGCCAGCAGCATTGATACCAAGGGCAGTGCACAAGCAAGGAAAGAGGTAAGCAGGGTTGAGGTTTTGGTTTTTTTTGGTCATTGAGGGAAAAAATTAAAGTAATAAAGGACCCACTTTCAGGATTCACTCCTATCTTAATAGAGCTGGTGGAAATTTTTTGACAAACCCCAGCCTGTTTATGGAAGAGCACACTGTCACAGAAAATTCAATTTTCCATTTGTTTTTTAACAAGATTTTTTTTTCCAGTTGTCAAAAAACAATGGCGAACTTGCTGTGTTTTGAAAAATAGAACTTGGGTGTTTTGTTTTGTTTTTTTAATTTCCTGGCACCTCCTTGCCCTTTTCCAATCAGTTCTGCTTAATAGATTTACCCCAGTGAAACCAGCAAAAGAAATACCGGGGGAAATTCTGAAATCAAAGAGTCACTTCATTGTCCTAAATCTGGGCTCTCTTGCCCCTCCTGTGCAAAAGCTTGATATTTTTGGTCACTACTGTTTATTAGCCACTTAGAACAGGTTAAAGATGCCCAGTCATTGATGGATATTGGTAATCTTTTACCTGATATATTTATTTATGTTCCAGGTGAAATCATTACTTGTTACTCTAAGCCTAAAGGTATAAATGGGGTGGAGTGCATTTGGATGGCCTAGAGGATAGTTACAGAACCTTACTCTCTAATGCCGCAATCCTGCATGGTGCGAAGTACCCTACCCTTCTTTAGGAGGTAGCACCTTGCAACAATTATTTGAATATAGCCCAAATTTGATATGACATGTTAGTCCAGTTTCTAGAAGTGTCCCCATCACAGAACAAAGCAGTTGGCAGTCTTTGAGAGACCAAGAATTGAGTGTGTCCAAAGACTGAATAACCTTTTGTAGCCACTCAGATCATTCCTGAAGGTCAGGGTATAGTCACATTAAAGGTGGAGTGGAAGCTTGCAATCCCAAGTCCCTGAGTTGTGGCAAATGCACAGCTTGTTGCAATCCAGCTCTTGGAACTGGGCCTGTGGAAAAAACAGGACCAGAGCTGTGTGAAATTCCCATTTCCTACACCCCTTATGGTGGAAAACTCCTACATTCAGGTTTGTTTGTTTTGTTAAAATACAGATAGCTATGATCAAGGTGGTTGCACCCAGAGCTGTCCTTAAAGTGGTGGACTATGCAATCCAAGTTTGTGGTGGAGCTGGAGTTTCTCAGGATTTTCCTTTGGCTCGTATGTGAGTAGGAGGGATATCTATCCCATGTTTCTCAAACACTAGCAGTATTTCCCCTTTCTTGTCAAACTGGTTAAAAGGCTCTACATTTCAGGTCGGATTGAGCCAAATTCTGCTGGGACTGGAGCTGGGCAGTTTCTTTTTGGCAAGTAATTTGATTAAAAAAAAATGCAGTTTCAACAGACCCAAAACTATGACTTTTCATCAAGTTTGTCAGATAGTTTTGACCACCCCAAAATACTCTAAGTGGTTTAGTAATGTCAAAAACATGTAATTTGGACCCAACCTCAAAATTTTGTTTCAACCTCAGGCATTTTCAGAAAAGCAAATGACTAGATTTTTAAAGTTTGAGGAGTGGGGGAGATAGCCAGCTCCCTGATCACCTTTAGCCCAGGGGTTAGGACAATCTCATGGGATATTGGAGACCCAGGTTCAATTCCTCTGTCTGCCTACTGAGGGATTTGAACTTTAGTCTCACATTGCAGCAGGATGTCCTAGCCACAGGGCTCTGGGTCATTCTCAATCAGACCCGTGGAAGCTGTTTTACTTTTAAGTAAATAATTAGTATTAGAACAGGGACTTGAATTTAGGACTCACCTAGGGTATGGGAGACCCAAGTTCAAGTCCCTACACTCGTTACTGTTTATAAATAAGTGAAACAGTTTTGACAGAATGACCCAGAGCCCAGTGGCTGCTGCTCTTTTGATTTTTGACAAAATTAAAATTCCATTTTCAGTTTGATCCAAATTTTTTTTTTTTGCAACGGTCAGTGAATGGAACCAGGGCCGGCTCCAGGCACCAGCTTCTCAAGCAGGTGCTTGGGGAGGCCGCTCCGGAGAGGGGCTGCACGTCCAGGTATTCGGTGGATGGTCCCTCACTCCCGGTCAGAGTGAAGAACCTCCTGCTGAATTGCTGCCGCAGATCGCAATCGTGGCTTTTTTTTTTTTTTGGTTTTGGCTACTTGGGGCGACCAAAACCCTGGAGCCGGCCCTGAATGGAACAATCCATTATCTGCCCAGCTCAAACCCTGCTGTACTCTTTTACCTCCATTGAAGTCAGTGGGGCTGCATCTGAAAGCAGAATTTTGTCTCCTGTACTCAAAGGCATTATGCCACTTCAGAGTAGAGGTGAAATACAAAATAAAATTTATTCAGTTAAGACCAGAAGGGACTATTATAATCTACTTGGACTTCCTGCATAACATGCACTGGAATTTCACCCAGTGATTCTTGCATTGATCTCTATAACTTGGGGTTGAACTAGTGTCTTACCCAGACTGGATCTCCTGATGACTCAGTGATGGAGAATCTACATTTTATACAACATTTTTCTAAAACCAACTCCAGCTAATCTGTCACGTGAGGGGGCTCAGTCCAGAAGAGGAGCTTTGAAGAGAGTGATATATTCATCCTTTCCACCTTACAAAGTTAATCTAATCAATCTGAGCAGAATCTGCCCTAGCGCTAGAGTAAAGTTTACTTCCAAAGCTGGGTCTTCAGGGGCAGTTCAGAGTGCTTTTGCCAACCTTATTTAAGGACTTAACATGTTACCCTTTGTCTCAGCAATAGAGCACCTTACTGTTGACAATGAAAATATCCCTTATACCTGGGGCACTTATGATCCCAGCAGCTAAGTAGAAGTTTGAAAAATAGTGTCCTGAAGCTTGTCAGTACCAGGTTCTGTTATCAGAGCACTAAGTCACAGTTTAGAGGTCAGCAATAGCTGCCAAGGCAGCTATACCATGCCATCCTTTGGCAATCAAGGAGCAGTGATGGACTCACTCCACTACAAGACATGGGTACAGGCTACTCCTGTTTCAGTATCAATATTGCTTCTCTCATAGCTGGCTTAAATGTGTCAGTTTGCTCATCTATAGGCCAAAATACAATTCTGATTTCAGAGGCACACAAGCCCTACTGATGGCAATAGTGCATCATTTGAGAATAGACCAGTGCAATGGAATGGGGATTCCTGGTTCACATCCCAGCTTTCCCTGTGATCTTGGGCAAGGCCCTTTGTTTCCACTCTCATCTTCTTAATAAGACAGCCCCTGCTTCAAGACCTGTTTGTATAATACCCATCACCATGGGAGGGAGCCTAGTCCCCTAGTACTGTAATATAACAAAGTGCATTTCCAGAGTTAGAAGTGAGACTTAAGTGTAGTTCTCCCCCTCTAGGGGCCAGACATGAGGTTGCATGACCAGAGTGTGATGTACTCTGCACTGCAATTAGGGGGGCCCATCCCAGCTGGCTTCCACTAAGAGGCTATTTAACTACAGTGTAAGATGCTGGAGGGTCCCAGAGCACAGGCTGCAGCCCAAGCCTGAACAGCTACACTGCAGTCAACTAGCCCCTTAGCCTGAGTTTAAGTCAGCTGACAGGGGCCAGACCACAGTGGCTAATGGCAATGTATACACACACCTTTCACCTTGGTGCTGGTCATTTTAAAGGTGCTGGTTCCATCCCCCTAAAGGTCACTACTCCCCCCTCCCCCCCCCAAAACCACCCATGATTGAGGACCTCTCTCTGACAACATAACATCTACTGCTTGCGGTGAAAGGACAGATCCAGTTGCTCAGAGGCAGTAGCAGACAAGTCTATAGATGACTTACATGGGGACTAAAAACAGCAGCTAGCATTACTACAGTTGATACCCAAGGGAACTGTAGCAGCTTGGGTGTAGTGAAAAGGAAATGGTACTTAAGAGTTGTAGAAGGAGAAATGGCTCTATTCCCAACATAGCACCAGTTAACTTGTGGTGGGAGGGATAGTTCAGTGGTTTGAGTATTGGCCTGCTAAACCCAGGGTTGTAAGTTCAATCCTTGAGGGGGCCATTTGGGAATTTAGTTGGGGATTGGTCCTGCTTTGAGTAGGGGGCAGGAATAGATGACCTCCTGAGGTCCCCTGATATTCTAACTTCAGGACTCTGTGTATCTGAAATCTCTAAACAGGCTGCTTACATTACAGTAAAAACTGAGTCATCATCTGGCAGTGCAAATAGGATAGGCTCTTCCCCCAGGCAATTGCCAGCAGCTGTGGAAGGGCTTGCTTCCTAAATCGGTTTGACGCTGGCTTTTCCAAGTGCTCCAATCTTGTAAATGCATAAAAAAAAGCTCCTGGCTTCATGTACTGGGTTCCTAGCTGGATTTAGTCTTGAAGAATTTCCAGCTTGGATTGACTCCTGTTTCTTCTAGGCTAGTGCTACTCATTAAGAGTGGCTCCTTCCCCCTAACCAGTTCTGTTCAGTCAAACAATTCTAGCAACACAAGTTTCCTTATTTCATGGATTAAGGAAACAGCCTACTTTAGGTTTTTACTGAGAAGACATGTAACTATAAAAAAATCTTGGGGTGCATTTTTTGCTGTCACTTTACCAACCCCCACTATTAGGTGCTGGCACTGCAGGCTCTAGAATACACACTAATTTCAGATCATCATCTTACACAGGTTTGCCTTTATTCGGACCCTACGAATAGCTGATGGGCCTGATGAAGTTCACCTCTCAGCAATTGCAAAACTGGAACTACGGGACCAAGCCAAGCAACTGACCTCAAAAATGTAATAAAATTTAGTCGAATTGTACAATAGCATTACTTCTGTTTAAGGAATCTCTCTGAATGATTTAGGGGGGGGGGGCACAACACTGAGGGTATTTGAACTAAAATTACCTATATTTAATATTTACCAAAATGTTAATTTTCTACATTCTACACTGATAAGTTTAATAGTTCAAGGGTAACTTGAATTTGTTTTGCTTAGAGGTACTTGAGTCCTAAGCTGCTAAATAACATTTTTCCAGTTAATCTTCCAGCTACTGATCTGAAAGGTTACTTTATCAAGCCCTTAGCTGTTCTTATGTTGTACTGATGTTCTCTCAATCAAGGCCTCTATGAAGCTGTCTGTCGAACGTTATGTTTGTGAAATGGTTTCACTTAAGGCACTGCATCCAGCTAAAGCTTGCAGTTCACTGTTTGAGATTTAAAGTGTCACTAATGCATTGAATAAGTCTGAATAAAAGATTTCTCCCACAACAGTCCAATGCTGCGACTTTGCTAAAGGATCAACAACAGTGTTTAGGGAGATTATTTCTTTTAGTATCGAAGGGGTAGCCATGTTTGCTGCTTTTACAGATCCAGACTAAGAGTCCTGTGGCACCTTCTAGACTAACAGACGTATAGGAGCATGAGCTTTCGTGGGTGCATCCGAAGAAGTGGGTATTCACCCATGAAAGCTCATGGTCCTATACGTATTAGTTTAGAAGGTGCCACAGGACTCTTCGCTGCTTTTACATTTCTTTTATAAGGGTTGCTTGTAGCACAAGCCAAAAATGCCTTAAATCTACCGAACGATCCAGCTCACCACTGACAAGTAATAACTGTCTATACCTTGTGTAAAGTCAAGTCTGCAGGAGTGGGGGGGAGGGGGAGGAGAGAGAATTAAGGAAACAAGCGAAGGCTCTTGCTTGCTCTCAGATTCTAGCCTTGTTCTGGCTGGTTGTAAAGAAACACTTTCTGCAGCTCTTCAGCAGTGTAGTGACAGACAGGCATCATATATGACATTGGATATTGATTTTACTACGCATCACTTATTAACATATCAAGTTTTAGAAGGAACTATTAGTTAGGGAGCAAGCATTGCAGGCCACACAAACTCAGTCCAGAATGTGGGTATTCATTCAGCAAAGCCTCCATTGCTGCTACTCATGCTATTAAGTGTACACTGCTACTTATACTCTGCTAGCTTGATGAGAGTCTATACACAGGCAGAGGGATGATACCCAAGCTTGTAGCATAGAGGTAGCCATCCCCTATGCCAATGGCACGTGTCTTCAGTAGACCAGACTGTGACCTCAGCAAAGCCATACCACTGAATATTAAAGGACAGATTATTTCCTCATGTGCACATGTTTACAGACAAAGGTAAAATTTCATCCATTTTTTAGTTATGGCCATAATAATGACACTTTACCCAGCTGAACTTAATGAATATGGAAGGTCAATGTTGCTAACATTGCTAATAACTGAGGTTATGCATAGTGTTTAGCTGTGTATTGGACTGCATCGCCACAGCTCCAGGCTGTGGTGACCCAGTACTTTTTTGTATAATTAAAAGATCAAAGGGGCAATATAATTTTGACTTGTGCTGCATTATTTATCTGAATTGCTCTAATAGACACCTGCTTAATATTTTCTGGACTCTTTCCTTGGGGATTGGCTGATTATTGCATTCCACCAGCACACACTAGAAATATTTGTTCTGTTAAATACCAGAAATGGAAGAATATGATCAGTTTTTACACCTCTACCTGCATTTATAAGTTAGAGTATGTTACTGTCTGAGTTTTTACACATTACTCTAGAATTTGCTCTAGTTTAGTGTCCAGGGTATAGGACTTTCTCCTTTGTCAGACATTTTCTGGGTGATAAAATACTTAGAATACACAAATTCCTTCAGTACATTTTTTCCAGTCACTCAAGAACACCCCTCTCTCAGAAGTACGGTCTAGCTGGCTGCGCTAGAATTCTAATCATTTCCAAGAAGGAAGAAACATTCCATTAATAGAAAAGCTTTTTGTCTCATTAACAAGGCTCTCAATTCCCTTTATTTTTAAAATTTTATGTACATATGAGTGATCTGTATAATGTACATTCAATATAGAAAGCTTTTATATACTGGATAATGTATAGAACATTTCACAATTACACTAGGTTCTTACATACCAGGTTGACTTTTTTTTTTTTTTTGCTGAAGTGTTTTCAATTTGGTAAAGCCAGTTATACATACAAGTGTCTAATGCGGTTTGATCTCAGGAAGATAATGTTAATGATTAAGGACATCAGTGAACCGGTGCAGGGACAAACCTCTAGTAAGTCATTGTTCAATGAGAATGATCATGTCAGGACTTGGAGCAGAGGAGGAAAATGCCCTGTTAGTGGGGATGGTGGGGGTCAAGTGACTTAGTCCAATTCTTCTAGACTGTAGTTCAACTCCAGTCATGCTAATTCATAAAATATAAAAACTAGGAAAAAGTTGTTTGATTCACAGTCTTGTAAACAAATAGAAAGGAACAAAATGTGCTTACGTACAACAAGAAAAAAAATTCTTGTGTACTCATTTGGGCTGATCCTTAGAATGCTTTCTTATGTTACAATGTGACAGACTCACTGACTTTTTTCCCCTAAAAAAAATATATTCATAGAAAAAGGAATAACACTGTCAGGAAACAATTGGAAAGGCAGTAAGAGTTCATTTCAAAGCATCAGACGGAGGAAAGTGCTGTTCCTCATCACTGGCCAATCTGCCTTTAAAAGTCTTTCATGGGTATTTCAAATCCCTTAGCTGGTATCTCCCAATTCATTGTCTACAGGGGGTGGTACACTGGGCATTACAGAGGATGTTGTTCCTGCAGTAAGGTAGCCAGCAACTCCAGGGCCTGGGGAGGAGAGGAAAGAGAGAAAGAAAAAAATATTGATAATTAGTTTTAATATAATGAAATGGCTGTTCTCTATACTTATTACTCAGAATCACCCTTGTTAAAATTGTCATCTTTGAAAATACTGAGACACACAGTTTGATTGACCTTATATAGTTTTGTTAACCTTAAGAAGGAGATCTGTTTTATGGTTTTTATTTTTAACACTTGCCATTAGGAATTGAGGATAAATCTCATTTATAGCTGTAGTCCGAGAGCCTAGGAAATTCCGAGGATTTGTGCTTAAGGAAACAGAGATTGCGTGTTCATATACTTGAGAATCTGAAGTTTAATCAATCTAATGCGCTGAGTACCCCTAGACAACAAGGAACAAACCAAAAAAACCCAGAAAAATCAATTCCAGCCAAATGGAAGAAACTGACAAAATAAAGTGACCTAATGATAACTATCAGAGGGGTAGCCGTGTTAGTCCTGTGGCACCTTATAGACTAACAGACGTATTGGAGCATGAGCTTTCGTGGGTGAATACATGCCTCCGACGAAGTGGGTATTCACCCACGAAAGCTTATGCTCCAATAACATCTGTTAGTCTATAAGGTGCCACAGGAGTCTTTGCTGCTAATGACAACTAGTATTCAGATATTTTATAACCCGGGGTCGGCAACCTTTCAGAAGTGGTGTGCCGAGTCTTCATTTATTCACTCTAATTTAAGGTTTCGCGTGCCAGTCATACATTTTAACGTTTTTAGAAGGTCTCTCTCTGTCTATATAGATGAACTAAACTATTGTTGTATGTAAAGTAAACAAGGTTTTTAAAATGTTTAAGAAGCTTCATTTAAAATTAAATTAAAATGCTGATCTTATCAGTTTAGTGCAGTGGTTCTTAACCTGGGGTGCACGCACCCCCTCCCTAGGGGTGCGAGATGCCCTTTCTGGGGGTGCGAGACATGCAAGATTTTTTTAGAAGGTAAATCATCAAAAACACAAATTAAGCACAGGCACATAAGTGCAACTACTTTGTTTCATCAAGACTATGTATTTATTAACATTATACATTTTTTAACCATTACTGTAATATACAAAGTTTTTAAGGTTTTTAAGCTAATGGTAGTGTAATTTTTGAGAAGGGCTGCCGAGCGCTGGGACCAGGCCAGGAGCAGAGCCCTGGGCTGACTGCCAGTACCCCAGGAGGGCTGAGCAGGGCCGGAGGCCTGAACCCCGGCTGGCAGGGAGACGGGCAGCTGGAACCCCAGACCAGCAGCGAGGTGAGCGGGTCCGGTGACTGGTATCCCACGCCGGCAGCAGGCTGAGCGGGGCCGATGGCTGGGACCCCAGACTGGCAGCAGGCTGAACGGCTCAGCCCACTGCTGGTCTGGGGTTCCGTCCCCCGGCTCCTGCCAACTGGGGTCCTGGCTGCCTGCCCTGCTCGGCCTGCTGCTGGCCAGGGGTTCTGTTCACCCAAGATGCCAGTGGGCTGAGCGGGGCAGGCGGCCGGGACCCCATCTGGCAGCAGCATGCCAGTAAAAATCGGCATGCGTGCCGCAGGTTGCCGACCCCTGTTATAACCGGATACCCTCACTCTGGCGTTTATGCTTTCAGATACGACTAGCAGGAACTTCCATTCTTTGGAGGGATAAAGCCATTAAACTGTCTCACTAGCTGGCAATATTTCTATCCCTGTTGAGATGGCATAGCGCAACTCCTAGTGCTTCTTTTTCACTTAAAAGGCAGAAAGCATTCAGAATACAAACAGCACTGCCAAGCCTGAAGAAAGTGAATATTAATGTTCCATCTCCTCAGAAGAAAAGGAAGGTCCCTGTAATTCTTGTTTGGATCAGAGTTTAACAGATCTGCACTCCTTCCCTTTTAACAGTAACCTTAGTCTACAGTGGATTTGTCACTGGAGCTTGAAGCTAAAGTCACTGCCACAAAGACTACATTTTTCCATATGAGAAACCTGGACTCATAGATAGGATCTGGATGACTCAAGAACAGTAGCCAAGTAAGGACATTACATTTTTAGGACATCTCTTGTGTCTTGAGGTGATCCAAATGCATCACACCCTTCATGAATCTTGTGAGTAAACAGAGGTAGAAAGTAGTCCACTTTCATGTTCATGAAAAGTTGATATAAAAGCAAAATCAACTGGAGGATGAAGTGTGCAGAGCACAGATTGGTGAAAAGAAGCTGGTTGTAGGGCAGGGGAAGTGCAAGGATCCATAGGGCTTTTTCAAAACAAAAAATCCTACAAAACCCCTTTGTTTTAGAAGTTATATGGCTTTTTGTTACCCTATATTCAAGGAGTTAAAACTTGTCACACTTAAATCATCAATGAACGTATCCATTTAATTTCCCATCACCTACATAAATACTGAAAGCTAAAGTTCTATTCTCAAAACGCAATAGTGTTTCCTTACAGCACACTGACAGCCATGCTGTTTTACATTTCAGAAGAAAAAGGCAAACGTGTGCCATGAGGAAACCAAAATGCACACCACCTTTCAAGAAGAGCCATGAAAAAAAACACTTGGCCATGAAGAAAAGTTAATTTTTGGCAACCTGCTACTTAGGGATTTCTGACTAAAGCTTAACTCCATTACTGTAT